CAAGAAGCAACGGATGGAAACCGATCAAGGAGAGAAGCAACCTGGAATCAAGGAGAAACTTCCTGACAGAATAATTAATCAGTGGAATATCTTGTCTCCTGTAGTTGCACTGGAAAAAGTGCAGAGAAGAGTCTATTCTATTCTATTCTATTCTATTCTATTCTATTCTATTCTATTCTATTCTATTCTATTCTATTCTGTAATTCTATTTTATTTATTCTATTCTATTATATTCTGTAATTTTATTCTATTCTGTTTATTCTATTCTATTCTATTTATTCTATTCTATTCTATTCTATCTGTAATTCTATTTTATTTATTCTATTCTATCCTGTAATTTTATTCTATTCTGTTTATTCTATTCTATTCTATTCTATTCTATTCTATTCTATTCCGTAATTCTATTTTATTTATTCTATTCTATTCTGTAATTTTATTCTATTCTGTTTATTCTATTCTATTCTGTTTATTCTATTCTAATCTATTGTTTTTAAAACTCACCCGTGGACCATTCTTCCCCTCGTCTTTCCGCAGATCAAGAGCTGTTGGAGGAAGAAATTGCCAAATTGCAGGAGGAACTCAAAGGGAAAGTCAGCCACCTCATGGAGGCCCAAGGTAGGTGCCCACCTGGCTCCCTAACCTGATTCCAAGGGAAAGCTGAGGACGCCAAGGTTGGTTTTTTTTTCCTTCTCAATTTGACTCATTGTGGGAATGGCGCCTTATCTTCCTCGGGACTGTTGTATTCTGAACTCAGAGCTCTGAGTGGCACAATTAAGATTTCCTTCCCTCCCATCTTAAGGCTGCAAGGTCGTGACAGAGAGCCGTGGGGAGCAATGGGGAAGGGGCTGGGCTGGACTAGGAGCTGGGAAACCCAGCGTTGGTCTGTCCACCGCCTCCCCCTCCCCCCCTTCACAGGGATACCCTGTTTGGGCTATTCCCTCCTTCTCGATCCCAGGGGCGATGTGGTAGATTAGGAGGGAGCATAAGATTCTTTTTTAAATTTAGTTTTATTTCATTTTAATTATTTAGCATTTATATACCGTGCCTCTTATTATTTTTATATATACCTAACATTCCTTCCTGCTCCTATTTTCCTAACAACCCTGTGAGGTGGGCTGGGCGGAGGGAGAGGAAGTGTCGCAAAGTCAGCCAGCCAGCTTTCGTGCCTAAGGCGGGACTAGAACTCACTGTCTCCTGGGGATTGGCCCAAAGTCACCCAGCTGGCTTTCATGCCTAAGGCGGGACTAGAACTCACCGTTTCCTGTTGATTGGCCCAAAGTCACTCAGCTGTCTTTCGTGCCTAAGGCGGGACTAGAATTCACCGTCTCATGGTGATTGGCCCAAAGTCACCCAGCCGGCTTTAATGCCTAAGGCAGGACTAGAACTCACCGTCTCCTGGTGATTCACGCAAAGTCACCCAAGGCGGGACTAGAACTCACAGTTTACTGTTGATTGGCTCAAAGTCACCCAACCAGCTTTCGTGCCTAAGGCGGGACTAGAACTCACTGTCTCCTGGTGATTGGCCCAAAGTCACCCAGCCGGCTTTAATGCCTAAGGCAGGACTAGAACTCTCAGTCACCTGGTGACTGGCCAAAAGTCAATCCGTTGGTTTTCATGCCTAAGGTGGGACTAGAAGTCACCGTCTCCTGCTCATCAACCCAGCCCGCTTTCGTGGCTAAGGAAGAACTAGAACTCACCATCTCCCGGTGATTGGCCCAGAGTCGCTCCGCCTGCTTTCGTGGCTAAGGCGGGACTACAACTATGAGCCCAAAGTCACCCACCCAGCTTTCACGCCTAAGGCCGGACTAGAACTCCCGGCCTCCCAGTTTCTCGCCCGGCGCCTTAGCCAGTGAGCCCTACTGGCTCCTCATGGGTTTAACGTCTCCCTTCGTCTTCCTGAAGGTAAACCAGAACTGAAAGGCTACAACCTGAAACCCTTGACCGCCGAAGAAATGTGGTTCATGAAGAAAGTGGTGGACAACTGAAGCCGTCCTCCCCCCCCGTGTGGATTTTGGCGTGGGCAACCCGCGCCGGAGAGCTGCTTCCCGCGCTCCTGGCGGAGAAAACCGGGTATTTGCCGAGCGGTTGAGCCTTTCACGGGCGTCTTTTATGCCCCTCTCTTAAAACTAGCGAGCTGCCTCCAGATGTGGCCCAGACGTCGTTGACACTGTACGGACAGGTGACAGACATTTGAGGAGGGAGTTCCTCGAGGTCAGAATTTTGCCCTTTTGAGGTTGGATATCGAATGCAAATGATTGACAGTGAGGCTGGAGGACTTCACATTGATCTGGTTTCCGTGCACCGGGCCCGGGTGACGATCAATTGAGTGAGGCTCCCACATCCGTTGGGAGAAGGGTGGAAAATCACCTCTGCTTCGTTTTGGTCGTGTGGTTGTGTTTGTGTACCCACAACCATTGTCTGAATTAAAACTCTTTGGAGATGAAGGGACCGCCTCTCCCCCATTTCATCCCTGGGGAGATGCTCTCTCTTTACACATTGTACTTTGCCCTGTCATGTTGGCGGGATTGTCTTCTTCGTCTGGGTAATTCTTCGATTGTGCTGTTCTTTAATGTAGTTGCTGCATCGAATCCCTCCTAGCACTGATGATGTTACCTAGGTGGGTCACAAAACATCTGCAAGGAAACAACCCAGCTTAGAGAGCACCAAGGACACCTCAATCCTTCTCCTCCTCTTCCCCTTCTTCCTCCCTCTCCCCCTCCTCCTCTTCCTTCTCCTCCTCCTCCTCTCCACAAACTGTGTTCCCTTCTAGCACTGATGGTGTTACCTAGTTGGGTCTCAAAACGTCTGCAAAGAAACAACCAAGCTTAGAAAGCACCAAGGACACCTCAATCCTTCTCCTCCTCTTCCCCTTCTTCCTCCCTCTCCCCCTCCCTTCTCCTCCTCCTCCTCCTCCTCCTCCTCCTCCTCCTCCTCTCCACAAACCGCGTTCCCTTCTAGCACTGATGGTGTTACCTACAGTAGTTGGGTCTCAAAATGTCTGCAAAGAAACAACCAAGCTTAGAGAGCACCAAGGACACCTCAGTCCTTCTCCTCTTCCTCCTCCATCTCCTTCTCCTCCCCCTCCTCTTCCTTTTCCTCCCCCTCCTCCTCTCCACAAACCCCATTCCCTTCTAGCACTGATGGTGTTACCTAGTTGGGTGACAAAACGTCTGCAAGGAAACCACCAAGCTTAGAGAGCACCAAGGACATCTCAATCCTTCTCTTCCTCCCTCTCGTCCTCCTCCTCACAAACCCATTCCCTTCTAGCACTGATGGTGTTACCTAGTTGGGTCTCAAAACGTCTGCAAGGAAACAACCAAACTTAGAGAGCACCAAGGACACCTCAATCATCCTCCTCTTCCTCCTCCTCCCCTTCCTCTTCCTTCTCCTCCTCTTCCTCCTCCTCTCCACAAATCCCATTCCCTTCTAGCACTGATGGTGTTACCTAGTTGGATCATGAAAGGTCCGCCAGAAAACACCCAAGCTCAGAGGACCAAAGACCCCATAATCCTCCTCCACCACCCCAACCCACCCTCCCTCCTAGCACCGATGACGTTACCTAGCTTGGTAATGAAACATCTTCAAGAAAGCAACCCCGCTCTGAGAGCACCAAGGACACACCCCGCCTCGTATCCTAGATACTATTTGCTAGTAAGATCAAAAAAGAAGGTTTTTTTTAAACGTTTTGGAGTACAAAGGTGTTCTTTATGATTCACGCTCATTCCAGAAGGTTTGAATCGGAACCAGGGTGGCAGAAGTGGCTCTGGCTAAGATGCCTCTTTCTGCCCGGCTTTGGTCCAACAACAGGGTGGCAACTCTGCCACTCAACAGCTCAAAACATTTTACACACTTTTCCCCACGTTTTGCAGCCAGCCTGCCTCCGGAAGGCATCTCCGCAGTGGGGACAGCTTGCCGTTCGTCCATTTGGCGCCCGTGGTCAGCCTGCCCGTCAAAACTCCTTCAAGCTCGAAAGACGGGACCCCCTTCCAAAGCAAAAGGGACGCCCAGCTGACATGGGCGAAGGCAGGAAAACCCTGGAATCGGTTCCTGGTTTAGCTCTATAAAGCAGGGAACTCCCCCACCCTCTCATCCCATCTCCGACTTCAGGTCCTTTTTTTCTTTTTTTAAATCTAGCCACTTTCTGGCTGAGCCTTAATTTTTCAGCTGCGCCTGAAACGCCTTGAAAAGTTGCTTCAGCTGTTTCTTTCTGTCGTTGCTGTAACCTGCAGCCGAGGGGGGGAGGGAGAGAGGTCAGATTGTAAAAAGGGTACAGGCAGTCCTTGACTTAACGACCGCGATCAGGATCGGAATTTGCGTTGCTAAGCGAGGCAGCTGTGCCCGATTTTGCGACCATTTTTTGTTCTTTTTTTTTAAAAAAAAAACCTTGGTCGTTAACCAAACCGCTGCCGTTGTTAAGCGAAGCAAGTTAAGTTAAGTAAATCTGGCTTCAGCTACAGGTGGTCCTCGACTTAACGGCCACCAGGTGAGCCCGACATTTCTGCCAAAAAGCACGAGACACTGGCCGAGAGGATTTTGCCCCGTTTTACGACCTCTCTTGCCTCCGTTTGTTAAGCGGATCGCCACAGTTGATAAGTTAGCGACACGGTTCTTAAGTGAATCCAGCTTGCCCCATTGACTGGTCCAAAGCATAAGCCTCCCACCTCATCAACCCTCCCCACAGCCCTCCGGGGCCATACCTAGGTGTGTGTTTGCCACAAAGCCGTTCATTGGCGTATCCAGATTGGCGTCTTCCCTGCTAACCGGCCCATCGTTCCACATCAGATCAAAGCCTCCGACTCGCTTTTCCTTCCCTGTCAAACTGTAAGGACAAAGAATGAAAGAAAGAGGGACCTGGGGGGGGGGACAGACACGATAGCAGCGTTCCAGTATTTGAGGGGCTGCCACAAAGAAAAAGGGGGTCAACTTATTCTCCAAAGCACCTGAAGGCAGGACAAGAAGCAACGGATGGAAACTCATCAAGGAGAGAAGCAACCTGGAACTAAGGAGAAACTTCCTGACCGTGAGAACAATCAACCAGTGGAACTACCTGCCACCAGAGGTTGTGAGTGCTCCAACACTGGAAGTTTTTAAGAAGAGATTGTACAGCCATTTGTCTGAAATAATATAGGGCAGAAGTCCCCAAACTTTTGAGCACCAGGGACCGGTTCCGTGGAGAGAGGTTTTTCCATGCACCGAAGGGTGTGTGGTTTTGTGTGCTGCCTGCATCCTGCGGATGGGGCTTTGCTTGTTTGTGCGGACCGGTTGCTGGCATGCCGCGGCCTGGTACAGGGTTGGGGACCCCTGGTATAAGGTTCTCGGGGTTGGACTAGAAGACCTCCAAGGTCCCTTCCAACTCTGTTAGTCTGCCTTTCATTCTGGAGTACGGGAGTCTGTGTAGCGATCCATCTTCCATGTTTAGAATAGAATATAGAATGATATAAAAAGATGTTGAGACTCTAGAAAGAGTGCAGAGAAGAGTCACAAAGATGATCAGGGGACTGGAGGCTGAAACATACGAAGAACGGTCGCTGGAATTGAGTATGTGTAGTCTAATGAAAAAAAGGAGTATGGCTGACCGGATAGCAGAGTTCCAATATCTCAGGGGCTGCCCCAAAGAAGAGGGAGTCAAGCTATTCTCCGAAGGGCCTGAAGGCAGGACAAGAAGCAACGGATGGAAACTGATCAAGGAGAGAAACAACCTGGAACCAAGGAGAGACTTCCTAACAGTGGGGACAACTAACCAGTGGAACGACTTGCCTTCAGAAGTTGTGGCTGCTCCATCACTAGAGGTCTTCAAGAAGAGATTGGGCAACCATTTGTCTGGAATGGTATACAGTAGTACAATCTTTATTGTTATCAACTAAATAAAAATGCCCACGATTTCTGGTGGCAAGCTGTTCCACTGGTTGATTGTCCTCATTGTCAGGAAGTTTCTCCTTGATTCCAGGTTGGTGAACAACCTGGCCCCCTCTGCCTATTTGGAAAGGACCAGGTTGAAGATGGCCAGCCTGACTGACCATGTCTGGTCAGATCTTGGTTTAATGCAAGAAACAACAGGGCAGCCATGAAGTTGGTCACATCTTTTGAAAGCTTTCTTGGTGTCTCCTGATGTCAGGGGTGGAAAAACTGGGTGGAAACGCCTCCCCCGCTGTCTCCGTGCTCTACTCACCGGGCTTCCATGTCCACGATGTTCAGTGTGTCTTCCAAGAGGCGTGTCTTGAGGTCATGGTCTTCCAGGCTGCTAGCGGTCAGAGAAGGCGAGGCATTGACCTCTAACAGCCACCTGTGTGGGACAGCGCAAAGAAGGTCAGAGGCAGAAGAGCATTTGTCGCATGCTAAGCTTGGACGGGAAGCTGGAGATGGATCTAGTCCAATTGTTTGGAATTGTGGGGTCCTCTTTTGGCTGATGTTTCGTGACCCAACTATGGAGCATCATCAGTGCTAGAAGGAAGGAGGAGGAGGATGACGACAATTGTGGGGTCCCTGGTGCTCTCTGAGCTTGGTTGTCTTCTTGCAGACGTTTCATGACCCAACTAGGGAACATCATCAGTGCTAGAAGGGAGTGGGTTTGTGGGGAAGAGGAGGAGGAGGAGAAGGAAGGACTCTGGGGTCCTTGGATGTCTCTGAGCTTAGATGTTTTCTCGTAAACGTTTCATGACCCAAGTAGGGAACATCATCAGTGGTAGAAGGGAGATGGAGGAGGAGGAGGACTGTGGGGTCCTTGGAGGTGTCTACACTTGGTTGTTTTCTTGCAGACATTTTATGACCCAACTAGCAAACATCATCAATGCTAGAAGGGAGAGGAGGAGAACTGTGGGATCCCTGGTGCTCTCTGAGCTTGATTGTTTTCTCGCAGACATTTCATGACCCAACTAGGGGACATCATCAGGGCTTGAAACTGCCCTCCCTTCTAGCCCTGATGACATTCACTAGCTGGGTCACGAAACATCTGCAAATAAAAGCAATGAAGATCAGAGAGCAGCAGGCACCCCTCCCTCACCCACGTTGAGCCAAAGTACAAATAGTCCTCGGCTTACGACGCCAATCGGGATCAGAACTTCCCTCGCTAAGCCAGTCGGTTATCGCCTTGCTGTCTGGCTGGGGCACTCTGGGAGTTGAAGTCCNAGCTACATTGGTCAGGTGAATATCTGGCATCAGGGTTGGAGCTAAGGATCGTGCGAATGGACGGAAAACCGCACAAGTACTCCTCGACTTTCAATCGCTCAGAGTTACAATGGCACGGAAAACGTGATTCCCGCAAGAGCGACCAGCTTCACCGTCGTTGACTTCTCTGCTGCCTCCTTCAGCATCCCTGTGGATCTCCCCACAAAGGGTCTCTTTGCGTTCACACGGGACTAGAGGAGACATCCAGTTACACACCACCTCAAGGAGTTGTGCAACTCTTTTAATGAGGGTGAAGAGTTCGTTCTCCGAGCGTGTGGGCTGGCTTCCAAAGCGTTTCGTTACCAGGCTAGGTAACGTCTCCAGTGGAGTTGAGGGGGTGTCGTTCTTCTGTTGATAAGGGCTTCGGGTGTGGGTGTGTTGAGGGTCTTGTGATGGGTCAGGTGTGAGTCATCAGTGGGAGGCTTGCGATGGCTCTTGGGATGAGGAGGTTACATCAGCTCAAATTCCTTGGGAGGTGAACTGATGAGAGATGGGGGATTGCGCGGGATGGTTGAGGGTGCGGTTGATTTGGATTCTGAGGGGTTCATAGGTCAGTGTGTCTGTTGATGGAATTGCCAGACCCATCACAAGACCCTCATTAGACACACACCCAGCCCTGAAGCCCTTGATGCCGACATCCCCTAAACCAGGGGTCCCCAACCCCCGGGCTGTGGACCGATACCGGGCCGCGGCATGCCAGCAAGCGGTCTGCACAAACAAACAAAGCCCCATCCGTGGGATGCAGGCAGCACACAAAACCACGCACCCTCTGGTCCACGGAAAAACCTCTCCACGGAACCGGTCCCTGGTGCCCTAAAGGTTGGGGACCCCTGCCCTAAACGCCACTGAAGATGTATCGTCCCTGCCTCCCCCTCCCCAGTACCCCCCCGGTCTCTCTGGAAGCGGGCCTCAGGATACACTGATCGTCCAGGGTGTTCAGGGTGAAGCGCGTGTTGGAGAAGCGAGCAAAACCGTCTCGGTACAGCCACGCTTTGAGAGGGAGATACTGCGGAAAGAGAAGTTGGGGATCAGAGGCAGGATCGTCCCAGAACTTTAAGATAGGTGGACTTCAACTCCCAGAATGCCCCAGCCAGCATGCTTGAGGATGAATGGACTTCAACTCCCAGAATTCCCCAGCCAGCAGGATGAAGGACTTCAACTCCCAGAATTCCCCAGCCAGCATGCTTGAGGATAAATGGACCAACTCCCAGAATTCCCCAGCCAGCATGCGTCAGGATGAATGGACTTCAACTCCCAGAATTCCCCAGCCAGCATGCTTTAAGATGAATGGACTTCAACTCCCAGAATTCCCCAGCCAGCATGCTTGAGGATGAATGGACTTCAACTCCCAGAATTCCCTGGCCAGCATGAAGGTAGTCCTCAACTTACAACAGTAATGGAGCCTCTTAAGGTCATAAGTCATGATGGTTTTAAAGCGGGTCATGAGACCAGCAGCAAACCACTAATTGAATGTGACGGTCATAAAGCAAGCACCATAGTCATTAAACGAAGACTGCAGTCATTAAGCGAAGCCATCGCTTGCTGTGAGGCATTTTAAATGAAAACTAGACGTAAACATCCATTTTGGGCAAAAATGTCACACACCGCTAACATGATGCAATACCCTGGAAACAGCAGCCTGGTTGCTAAGCACCCAAAACTCAGTCACATGACCCCCCCCCAAGGGTGGGTGGGGGCGGCCATCAGAACCACGGAGTTCACTTTATGACGGGCTGTCGTCTTTGCTTAACGACGGCCATAAAGAAAATCACACAATTATGTCCATAACGGGTATTCTCCATCAACGGTTGCATGTCGACTGTACAGGCAGTCCTCAATTTACAACGGTTCATTTGGTGACCATTCAAAATTACAACGGCAGCGAGGAAAGTGACCGGATCGTTTTTTTATAGTTACAACCTTTGTAGTAACTACGGTCGTGTGATCAAAATTCAGAGGCTTGGCAACTAGTTCGCGCTTAACGACAGTCGCTGGGTCCCGAGGTCACGTGATGCCCTCTGGCGACCTTCCAAGAAGCAAAGTCAACGGGGGGAAGCCGGATTCACTTAACGACTGCAGGCATTCACCGAACTATGGCGAGAAATGGGGCAAAAGCCGCTTTGCAAAGGTCTCGCTTAACAGCAGAAAATTTGGGCTCGATTCTGGCCGTAAGCCGAGGACTACCTGTGTTCCCAGAATTCCTCTCCCTTGGGTTTGGTTGAAAAGCCTTCCCACTGGGCTGGGAAGAGGAAGGAAGGGGGGACTCACCGACGTCACCAAAACGTAGACCCGTAAGTCAAATTTCCGACCTGCGAACCGGAGAGAAATCAATTCATTAAATGCTCCATTGTGATACAAGAAAGTCTTCAATCCGGGGGTCTCAAACCCCCGGTGTAGGGTCTCCTGCTTGGGTAGGGTGTGTGTGGACTAGATGACCTACAAGGCCCCTTCCAACTCGGTTATTCTGATTCTAACCCAGGGGGGAGGCAACCTTGGCTCTTTTATGATTCGTGGACTTCAACTCCCAGAATTCCTCAGCCATCATGGGGGAACTATGGCCCCTTCATGGCTTGTGGACTTCAACTCCCAGAATTCCTGGGCTACCATGGTTGGTTCAGGAATTCTGGGAGTTGAAGTCCACGAGTCATAAAAGAGCCAAGGTTGCCTACCTGGCTTCCCCCCACTGACTCTGCTTGTCAGAAGGTCGCAAAAGGGGATCACGTGACACACACCCCTGCCCTGGGGACGCCGCAAAACCTCACTTAGCAACAGAAATTGTGGACTCGGTTGTGGTGGCAGGACTACATTCTGGCAAGATTCTGTGTGTAGGACAGGGGTAGGGAACCTTGGCTCTTTTATGACTCGTGGACTTCAACTCCCAGAATTCCTGAGCCAGCCATGCTGAGGGGAAAGGGAGAGGTTTCCAAGCTGAGCCATGCTGGCTCAGGAATTCTGGGAGTTGAAGTCCACCAATCATGAGGGGGGCGTAGTTCCCCCATGCTGGCTCAGGAATTCTGGGAGTTGAAGTCCACCAGTCATGAGGGAGCCATAGTTTCCCCATGCTGGCTCGGGAATTCTGGGAGTTGAAGTCCACGAGTCATGAGGGGGCCATAGTTCCCCCATGCTGGCTCAGGAATTCTGGGAGTTGAAGTCCATGAGTCATGAGGGGGCCATAGTTTCCCCCATGCTGGCTCAGGAATTCTGGGAGTTGAAGTCCATGAGTCATGAGGGGGCCCGTAGTTCCCCCATGCTGGCTCAGGAATTCTGGGAGTTGAAGTCCACCAGTCAT